CCGTCCCGCAATCGCTCCCTTGCGTGGGACTTCTTCGCAATTTATTCGAACGCCGCGCCCTCGACGCTCAGGAATCACGCTTCGATCCAGCCTCTCTGACGATCTTTTTTAGAAGAGCGGTAGCGCTCGAGACTTCCTCGCGATTCATGCAGGACTCGCGCTTCGGCAACCCGCCTGCTTAACCTGGCCGCCCAGGCCTGGCTTCCCGACCCGCAAGTCAGGGTCTACCTGCCCGATCAGCCCGTCTGGTTCTGCCACGTGCTTTCGGCGCCTCTTCCCCCTCCTGCTAACCTCTGTCGTGCTCCATCCTTCTCCCTCCCCCTTCCATCCGTCCGCTCCTCCCCTGTTCGAGGGGCTGCATCAATTGCGCGTGGCATGTAAGGAAGACGCACCCCCAAGGGGGCACGATCGAAGACAAAGAGGGCGGGCATCGAGGGTCCGTAGCCATTTTGGCTCAAGGCTCCTTAGGGACCTTCCGGACCACGTACCTCTCCCGAACACCACACCTCATTGCATATACTTGCAGATTGACGATGGGGCCTGTCGTCTTCGTGCGCTTGGCGTTTCTATTGATGCCGACTGCAGTCGCAGTCCAGCTGCTTGCAGCCAGCAATTCCTCTAACCCCTGGATGCTGTATGCAAACATCAACCCCTGCGATGGTGGAAATATGGGGTACGGGGCATCCGCGTGGTACGGCAGTGCTGGGAGCGCCGCCACAAGTCTTACGAACGACTTCGTCGACGGCACAGTGGGGACTGCTCCGGTGAAGTACGTCACCATCGCTCGGCACGCCGGCGGTGCATGCGAGATGTCGAAGACGTGGGAGCTTACGAGCAGCACCAAATCGATGTATGACTATTTTTCTGACCACAGCCCTGGGAGGATCTATGCCACGGGGGATGGCAGCGCCAGCGACACCCACATCGCATCGGACATGCCGTCATCTTTCAGTGGGGATGGCACGCCGGGGGACCCGATCTTTGGCGCCGATGGTGGCTTGGTGTTCAACTGGTGGTATTCGAACATGGAGCTCGGGTTGCTGTTCCTGGTGGCTACAAGACCCCGTACTCTCTTCCGGGTACCGGGGAGAACAACGACGACCTCCACGGTCTGGGCAACGAGTTCGGTGCTAACACTCAAGCTGGTGGAGGGAGTGGCAGCTGGTGGCACGATGCTGCCAAAATCATGGGGGACTGCCACGGCACTTCCTGCCAGGTGCTTGGCAGCGACCACGGAAGTGCGTGGGGCAGCACGAACTTTGGCTGCTGGGGCAGCTACGCCATCTACGTGTCTGCTGCTCTGTCCACTTTCCCCTGCCAGGGCTCGACGCTGTCGGCGCAGGTGTCGGGGGCGGCAGCGGGCGGAGCGGGGGGCGCGGCTGCCGTTGGCGATCCCCACCTGCAGAACGTTCACGGTGAGCGCTTCGACTTGATGAAGCCCGGCAAGCATGTTTTGATTAACATCCCCCGTGGAGCGGGCGCTGAAAGTGCCTTGCTTCGCGTGCAGGCCGATGCGCGCCAGTTGGGCGGACAGTGCGCGGATATGTACTTTCAGGAGCTGAACGTGACGGGGTCGTGGGCGGAGGCGAAAAAAGTTGGAGGGTATCATTTCAGCGTGTCGCAAGATGGCGACGTCGCGACCTCAGAATGGGTTGCTTTCGGTAAGGTCGGGCTCAGAGTCGTTCATGGGCGCACGGGCAGTGGTCTGTCGTACTTGAACGTGTACATGAAGCATTTAGGGCGAGCTGGATTTGCCGTGGGAGGTCTGCTGGGTGAAGACGACCACACGGGCGTAGTCACCCCTCCAGAGGCATGTGCCAACCGCTTGGCCCTGAGTGCAGAGGGGGGCCAAACAGCCCCCTCAGTGCTCTCAGTCGCAGAGGTAAGCCTCGCCTGACCATGCTTCACTGCTTCCACTGGTGGTTCTCTGCTGCTGCTGCTGCTGCTGCTGCTCCTCTTCCTGTCTGCGGTCGGCGATCTGTCCATGTCAGCCGCTTCGAGCTGTTTCGCGCATGGGTGTATATACGTTCTTGACGCTTCCTGTCCGACCTGTCCGCACCGGTCTTCGTGTCAAGGCGCGGCGCTTCCTCAGTGGCACTACTTTTGAACCAACTAGTAGCCACGCTGTTTCTGTTCAGATGCCCGGAAAAAAGAGGGCGGGCATCGAGGGTGTGGGATATACATGTTGGCTGGCACGCGAGCAGGTAAGAGCGAACAATGACGATCTGGCCCGCGACCCACTCGCGATCTGGCCCGCGACCCTCCCGCGACCCGCCCGCGAACCACCCGCGACCCACCCGTGACCCGCCCGCGACCAACCCGCGACCCACCCACGACCCACCCCCGAGCCACCCGTGACCGCGACCCACCTGTGACCCACCCGCGACCCACCCGCGACCCACACGCGACCCACCCCGGACCCCACGGCGACACGCCCGCGACCCGCCCGCGACTTACCCGCAACCCACCCCGCGACCCACCCGCGACCCACCCATCCGAGTGCTACATGGTTCATCCCGCCTTCGTGTTTTTGATCTCCCAGCCACCTCTCACTTGGTGGTCGCTCTTTCCTATTTGCACTGGCCTCTGGGGTCGTCTTCTTTCTGGCTGCGTCACGTGCTTAGGCTCCTAGGCTGCGCACTCGTTTGGGTTTCCATTTCCCCAGTGTGGGCCCGCCATTCGCGTCATGAGCGTCATGCTCTGCAGTCAGCGCATGATGGAGGAGACGGGGAGGAGTGCACGGAAGAGGAGAAGGAGGAGGAGGAGGCGGAGGAGGGTAAACGTGCAGAGGAAGCAGAGGATGAAAAGGAGGCGGAAGGGGTGAGTGAAGAAGAGGAGGAGGAGGGAGATGAGGAAGAATGCGAGGAGGAGGGAGTCCACAGGAGGAGGAGGAGGAGGAGGAGGAGGAGGGAGATGAGGAAGAACGCGAGGTGGGGGATGAAGGATGCCTGCGGTTCGGTCGGATCGGCTGCGCGGCAATCGGCTGCGTTCGGCTGGTTCGGTCCTACCGGCAGTCGTTTCGGTCTGTCGGCTCGGTCGGTGTTTGACTCATTGTCGGTTCGGTGTTCGGTTCTCGATGGCGTTGTTGCCGTATATTGTCTTGGGGATCAGGAGGAGGAGTCAGACGAGATAGGGGAGCTGTAATACATAGCGCCCTGCAGCTGCGGATAATAGTGATGGGGAGCTGGACTCGTCGGCAGTTTGCGAGGCTCCCAGGAAGCCCGCCGCAGGCGCCGATCTTTCCTTCGCAGCAACGCGGGTGGGTCGCGGGTGGGTCGCAGGGTGGTCGCGGGGTGGGTCATGGGTTGGTCGCGGGCGGGTCGCGGGCAATGACGACGACAACAACGCAATGCAACAACATTCCGCACCGCGGAGCCCCACTTCATCCACACACCCAGGGACAGCGATTTGTTGTTGTTGTTGTAGATGTTGTTGCTGTCGTTGTCGTCGTTGAATGTGCGGTTTTTTTCCGAATAAGTATTGTTACCCTTCTCCGGTAACATTTTTTTGATTACATTGCTTCTCCCGTGGCTCGCGGGGGGTCGCCAAACTGCGTTGTCACCAAACTGCGTTGTCGGCCCCCGAACTCCCGCCTGATAATTTCTCAATGTATTCCCAAATCGCGCTCTCGCGCAGGGCTTCCTCACAGTGATTACGGGAATCGCGTGGAACTTCCTCACCATTTATTCAGACGCCGCGCCCTCGACACTCAGGAATCACGATATCGCTGTCGATTCCCTGGCGATTTACTTGGGAGTTGCGATGTCGAGGGTCTGGGATATACGTGTTGAATGGCACGCGAGCAGATAAGAGCGAATAGTCTTAAAATGATTGCTGTTGCATTTCCATGTCGAAAGAATAACTATTGTTGATGCCCCCTCCGGTGCCTTTGCGTTTTTGCATTAAAGAGTTCCTCCCAGGGCTCGCAGCCTGTTCTTTTGTAATCAGGGAAAGTTTGGGGTCACCAAGCTGTGCTGTTGCTCCCCGGTTTGCAACAGCAGCGGCTCCCGCCTGATAGTTTCACCATTCACTCCAAAACCGCACTCTGGAGCAGAACTCCCTCGCAATGTATGCAGGAATCGCGCTCTCGCGTGGGACGTCCTCGCAATTTATTCAAACGCCGCGTCCTCGACGCTCATGAATCGCGCTTTCGATCCGGCGTTTCGCATGATTTATGTTGGAATCGCGCTATCGCTCGAGACCTCCATGCGATTCATGCAGGGCTCGCGCTTCAGCAATCCGCCTACTCGACCTGGCCGCCTGAGCCCGCCCTCCTGCAGCGCCCGTTCGGGTCTACCCGCCCGATTCGCCCGTCTGGTTCTGCCACGCGTTTTGTGTTCGTAGCCCCCTTCCTGCTAAATTTCTCTCGTGCTCCATCCTTCTCCTTTCCCCTTCCATCCGTCCTCTCTTCCCTTGTTTTAGGTGATGCACCACTTGCACGTGGCAGGCAAGGAAGATTTACCCCCAAGGGGGTACAATCGAAGACGAAGAGGGCGGGTATCGAGGGCTTGGGATATTCCTATTCAGCGGCACGCGAGCAGGTAAGAGCGAACGGCTTCGACACGAACAAATAACTGTTGGTGATTCCCCCTCTGGTGCACCTCGTGTTTGTTCACTTAAAGATTGCGGATCGCATCCTGCTTGTTACAGAGCACGTCTCCCTCCTCCAATTGCGCCCCTGGCCCAAGACTTAGAACAACAACGGCTCCCGTCCCGCAATCGCTCCCTTGCGTGGGACTTCTTCGCAATTTATTCGAACGCCGCGCCCTCGACGCTCAGGAATCACGCTTCGATCCAGCCTCTCTGACGATCTTTTTTAGAAGAGCGGTAGCGCTCGAGACTTCCTCGCGATTCATGCAGGACTCGCGCTTCGGCAACCCGCCTGCTTAACCTGGCCGCCCAGGCCTGGCTTCCCGACCCGCAAGTCAGGGTCTACCTGCCCGATCAGCCCGTCTGGTTCTGCCACGTGCTTTCGGCGCCTCTTCCCCCTCCTGCTAACCTCTGTCGTGCTCCATCCTTCTCCCTCCCCCTTCCATCCGTCCGCTCCTCCCCTGTTCGAGGGGCTGCATCAATTGCGCGTGGCATGTAAGGAAGACGCACCCCCAAGGCTCCTTAGGGACCTTCCGGACCACGTACCTCTCCCGAACACCACACCTCATTGCATATACTTGCAGATTGACGATGGGGCCTGTCGTCTTCGTGCGCTTGGCGTTTCTATTGATGCCGACTGCAGTCGCAGTCCAGCTGCTTGCAGCCAGCAATTCCTCTAACCCCTGGATGCTGTATGCAAACATCAACCCCTGCGATGGTGGGAATATGGGGTACGGGGCATCCGCGTGGTACGGCAGTGCTGGGAGCGCCGCCACAAGTCTTACGAACGACTTCGTCGACGGCACAGTGGGGACTGCTCCGGTGAAGTACGTCACCATCGCTCGGCACGCCGGCGGTGCATGCGAGATGTCGAAGACGTGGGAGCTTACGAGCAGCACCAAATCGATGTATGACTATTTTTCTGACCACAGCCCTGGGAGGATCTATGCCACGGGGGATGGCAGCGCCAGCGACACCCACATCGCATCGGACATGCCGTCATCTTTCAGTGGGGATGGCACGCCGGGGGACCCGATCTTTGGCGCCGATGGTGGCTTGGTGTTCAACTGGTGGTATTCGAACAATGGAGCTCGGGTTGCTGTTCCTGGTGGCTACAAGACCCCGTACTCTCTTCCGGGTACCGGGGAGAACAACGACGACCTCCACGGTCTGGGCAACGAGTTCGGTGCTAACACTCAAGCTGGTGGAGGGAGTGGCAGCTGGTGGCACGATGCTGCCAAAATCATGGGGGACTGCCACGGCACTTCCTGCCAGGTGCTTGGCAGCGACCACGGAAGTGCGTGGGGCAGCACGAACTTTGGCTGCTGGGGCAGCTACGCCATCTACGTGTCTGCTGCTCTGTCCACTTTCCCCTGCCAGGGCTCGACGCTGTCGGCGCAGGTGTCGGGGGCGGCAGCGGGCGGAGCGGGGGGCGCGGCTGCCGTTGGCGATCCCCACCTGCAGAACGTTCACGGTGAGCGCTTCGACTTGATGAAGCCCGGCAAGCATGTTTTGATTAACATCCCCCGTGGAGCGGGCGCTGAAAGTGCCTTGCTTCGCGTGCAGGCCGATGCGCGCCAGTTGGGCGGACAGTGCGCGGATATGTACTTTCAGGAGTTGAACGTGACGGGGTCGTGGGCGGAGGCGAAAAAAGTTGGAGGGTATCATTTCAGCGTGTCGCAAGATGGCGACGTCGCGACCTCAGAATGGGTTGCTTTCGGTAAGGTCGGGCTCAAAGTCGTTCATGGGCGCACGGGCAGTGGTCTGTCGTACTTGAACGTGTACATGAAGCATTTAGGGCGAGCTGGATTTGCCGTGGGAGGTCTGCTGGGTGAAGACGACCACACGGGCGTAGTCACCCCTCCAGAGGCATGTGCCAACCGCTTGGCCCTGTGACAGTGCAGAGGGGGGCCAAACAGCCCCCTCAGTGCTCTCAGTCGCAGAGGTAAGCCTCGCCTGACCATGCTTCACTGCTTCCACTGGTGGTTCTCTGCTGCTGCTGCTGCTGCTGCTGCTCCTCTTCCTGTCTGCGGTCGGCGATCTGTCCATGTCAGCCGCTTCGAGCTGTTTCGCGCATGGGTGTATATACGTTCTTGACGCTTCCTGTCCGACCTGTCCGCACCGGTCTTGGTGTCAAGGCGCGGCGCTTCCTCAGTGGCACTTTTTTTGAACCAACTAGTAGCCACGCTGTTTCTGTTCAGATGCCCGGCGTGGGATATACATGTTGGCTGGCACGCGAGCAGGTAAGAGCGAACAATGACGATCTGGCCCGCGACCCACTCGCGATCTGGCCCGCGACCCTCCCGCGACCCGCCCGCGAACCACCCGCGACCCACCCGTGACCCGCCCGCGACCAACCCGCGACCCACCCACGACCCACCCCCGAGCCACCCGTGACCGCGACCCACCTGTGACCCACCCGCGACCCACCCGCGACCCACACGCGACCCACCCCGGACCCCACGGCGACACGCCCGCGACCCGCCCGCGACCTACCCGCAACCCACCCCGCGACCCACCCGCGACCCACCCATCCGAGTGCTACATGGTTCATCCCGCCTTCGTGTTTTTGATCTCCCAGCCACCTCTCCCTTGGTGGTCGCTCTTTCCTATTTGCACTGGCCTCTGGGGTCGTCTTCTTTCTGGCTGCGTCACGTGCTTAGGCTCCTAAGCTGCGCACTCGTTTGGGTTTCCATTTCCCCAGTGTGGGCCCGCCATTCGCGTCATGAGCGTCATGCTCTGCAGTCAGCGCATGATGGAGGAGACGGGGAGGAGTGCACGGAAGAGGAGAAGGAGGAGGAGGAGGAGGAGGCGGAGGAGGGTAAACGTGCAGAGGAAGCAGAGGATGAAAAGGAGGCGGAAGGGGTGAGTGAAGAAGAGGAGGAGGAGGGAGATGAGGAAGAATGCGAGGAGGAGGGAGTCCACAGGAGGAGGAGGAGGAGGAGGAGGAGGAGGGAGATGAGGAAGAACGCGAGGTGGGGGATGAAGGATGCCTGCGGTTCGGTCGGATCGGCTGCGCGGCAATCGGCTGCGTTCGGCTGGTTCGGTCCTACCGGCAGTCGTTTCGGTCTGTCGGCTTTGTCGGTGTTTGACTCATTGTCGGTTCGGTGTTCGGTTCTCGATGGCGTTGTTGCCGTATATTGTCTTGGGGATCAGGAGGAGGAGTCAGACGAGATAGGGGAGCTGTAATACATAGCGCCCTGCAGCTGCGGATAATAGTGATGGGGAGCTGGACTCGTCGGCAGTTTGCGAGGCTCCCAGGAAGCCCGCCGCATGCGCCGATCTTTCCTTCGCAGCAACGCGGGTGGGTCGCGGGTGGGTCGCAGGGTGGTCGCGGGGTGGGTCATGGGTTGGTCGCGGGCGGGTCGCGGGCAATGACGACGACAACAACGCAACGCAACAACATTCCGCACCGCGGAGCCCCACTTCATCCACACACCCAGGGACAGCGATTTGTTGTTGTTGTTGTTGTTGTTGTTGTTGTTGTTGTTGTTGTTGTTGTAGATGTTGTTGCTGTCGTTGTCGTCGTTGAATGTGCGTTTTTTTCCGAATGAGTATTGTTACCCTTTTCCGGTAACATTTTTTTGATTACATTGCTTCTCCCGTGGCTCGCGGGGGGTCGCCAATCTGCGTTGTCACCGAAACTGCGTTGTCGGCCCCCGAACTCCCGCCTGATAATTTCTCAATGTATTCCCAAATCGCGCTCTCGCGCAGGGCTTCCTCACAGTGATTACGGGAATCGCGTGGAACTTCCTCACCATTTATTCAGACGCCGCGCCCTCGACACTCAGGAATCACGATATCGCTGTCGATTCCCTGGCGATTTACTTGGGAGTTGCGATGTCGAGGGTCTGGAATATACGTGTTGAATGGCACGCGAGCAGATAAGAGCGAATAGTCTTAAAATGATTGTTGTTGCATTTCCATGTCGAAAGAATAACTATTGTTGATGCCCCCTCCGGTGCCTTTGCGTTTTTGCATTAAAGAGTTCCTCCCAGGGCTCGCAGCCTGTTCTTTTGTAATCAAGGAAAGTTTGGGGTCACCAAGCTGTGCTGTTGCTCCCCGGTTTGCAACAGCAGCGGCTCCCGCCTGATAGTTTCACCATTCACTCCAAAATCGCACTCTGGAGCAGAACTCCCTCGCAATGTATGCAGGAATCGCGCTCTCGCGTGGGACGTCCTCGCAATTTATTCAAACGCCGCGTCCTCGACGCTCATGAATCGCGCTTTCGATCTGGCGTTTCGCATGATTTATGTTGAAATCGCGCTATCGCTCGAGACTTCCATGCGATTCATGCAGGGCTCGCGCTTCAGCAATCCGCCTACTCGACCTGGCCGCCTGAGCCCCTACCCGCCCGATTAGCCCGTCTGGTTCTGCCACGCGTTTTGTGTTCGTAGCCCCCTTCCTGCTAAATTTCTCTCGTTCTCCATCCGTCTCCTTTCCCCTTCCATCCGTCCTCCCTTCCCTTGTTTTAGGTGATGCACCACTTGCACGTGGCAGGTAAGGAAGATTTACCCCCAAGGGGGTACAATCGAAGACGAAGAGGGCGGGTATCGAGGGCTTGGGATATTCCTATTCAACGGCACGCGAGCAGGTAAGAGCGAACAGCTTCAACACGAACAAATAACTGTTGGTGATTCCCCCTCTGGTGCACCTCGTGTTTGTTCACTTAAAGATTGCGGATCGCATCCTGCTTGTTACAGAGCACGTCTCCCTCCTCAAATTGCGTCCCTGGCCCAAGACTTAGAACAACAACGGCTCCCGTCCCGCAATCGCTCCCTTGCGTGGGACTTCTTCGCAATTTATTCGAACGCCGCGCCCTCGACGCTCAGGAATCACGCTTCGATCCAGCCTCTCTGACGATCTATTTTAGAAGAGCGGTAGCGCTCGAGACTTCCTCTCGATTCATGCAGGACTCACGCTTCGGCAACCCGCCTGCTTAACCTGGCCGCCAGGCCTGGCTTCCCGACCCGCAAGTCAGGGTCTACCTGCCCGATCAGCCACTCTGGTTCTGCCACGTGCTTTCGGCGCCTCTTCCCCCTCCTGCTAACCTCTGTCGTGCTCCATCCTTCTCCCTCCCCCTTCCATCCGTCCGCTCCTCCCCTGTTCGAGGGGCTGCATCAATTGCGCGTGGCAGGTAAGGAAGACGCACCCCCAAGGGGGCACGATCGAAGACAAAGAGGGCGGGCATCGAGGGTCCGTAGCCATTTTGGCTCAAGGCTCCTTAGGGACCTTCCGGACCACGTACCTCTCCCGAACACCACACCTCACTGCATATACTTGCAGATTGACGATGGGGCCTGTCGTCTTCGTGCGCTTGGCGTTTCTATTGATGCCGACTGCAGTCGCAGTCCAGCTGCTTACAGCCAGCAATTCCTCTAACCCCTGGATGCTGTATGCAAACATCAACCCCTGCGATGGTGGGAATATGGGGTACGGGGCATCCGCGTGGTACGGCAGTGCTGGGAGCGCCGCCACAAGTCTTACGAACGACTTCGTCGACGGCACAGTGGGGACTGCTCCGGTGAAGTACGTCACCATCGCTCGGCACGCTGGCGGTGCATGCGAGATGTCGAAGACGTGGGAGCTTACGAGCAGCACCAAATCGATGTATGACTATTTTTCTGACCACAGCCCTGGGAGGATCTATGCCACGGGGGATGGCAGCGCCAGCGACACCCACATCGCATCGGACATGCCGTCATCTTTCAGTGGGGATGGCACGCCGGGGGACCCGATCTTTGGCGCCGATGGTGGCTTGGTGTTCAACTGGTGGTATTCGAACAATGGAGCTCGGGTTGCTGTTCCTGGTGGCTACAAGACCCCGTACTCTCTTCCGGGTACCGGGGAGAACAACGACGACCTCCACGGTCTGGGCAACGAGTTCGGTGCTAACACTCAAGCTGGTGGAGGGAGTGGCAGCTGGTGGCACGATGCTGCCAAAATCATGGGGGACTGCCACGGCACTTCCTGCCAGGTGCTTGGCAGCGACCACGGAAGTGCGTGGGGCAGCACGAACTTTGGCTGCTGGGGCAGCTACGCCATCTACGTGTCTGCTGCTCTGTCCACTTTCCCCTGCCAGGGCTCGACGCTGTCGGCGCAGGTGTCGGGGGCGGCAGCGGGCGGAGCGGGGGGCGCGGCTGCCGTTGGCGATCCCCACCTGCAGAACGTTCACGGTGAGCGCTTCGACTTGATGAAGCCCGGCAAGCATGTTTTGATTAACATCCCCCGTGGAGCGGGCGCTGAAAGTGCCTTGCTTCGCGTGCAGGCCGATGCGCGCCAGTTGGGCGGACAGTGCGCGGATATGTACTTTCAGGAGCTGAACGTGACGGGGTCGTGGGCGGAGGCGAAAAAAGTTGGAGGGTATCATTTCAGCGTGTCGCAAGATGGCGACGTCGCGACCTCAGAATGGGTTGCTTTCGGTAAGGTCGGGCTCAAAGTCGTTCATGGGCGCACGGGCAGTGGTCTGTCGTACTTGAACGTGTACATGAAGCATTTAGGGCGAGCTGGATTTGCCGTGGGAGGTCTGCTGGGTGAAGACGACCACACGGGCGTAGTCACCCCTCCAGAGGCATGTGCCAACCGCTTGGCCCTGTGACAGTGCAGAGGGGGGCCAAACAGCCCCCTCAGTGCTCTCAGTCGCAGAGGTAAGCCTCGCCTGACCATGCTTCACTGCTTCCACTGGTGGTTCTCCGCTGCTGCTGCTGCTGCTGCTGCTGCTGCTGCTCCTCTTCCTGTCTGCGGTCGGCGATCTGTCCATGTCAGCCGCTTCGAGCTGTTTCGCGCATGGGTGTATATACGTTCTTGACGCTTCCTGTCCGACCTGTCCGCACCGGTCTTCGTGTCAAGGCGCGGCGCTTCCTCAGTGGCACTACTTTTGAACCAACTAGTAGCCACGCTGTTTCTGTTCAGATGCCCGGAAAAAAAGAGGGCGGGCATCGAGGGTGTGGGATATACATGTTGGCTGGCACGCGAGCAGGTAAGAGCGAACAATGACGATCTGGCCCGCGACCCACTCGCGATCTGGCCCGCGACCCTCCCGCGACCCGCCCGCGAACCACCCGCGACCCACCCGTGACCCGCCCGCGACCAACCCGCGACCCACCCACGACCCACCCCCGAGCCACCCGTGACCGCGACCCACCTGTGACCCACCCGCGACCCACACGCGACCCACACGCGACCCACCCCGGACCCCACGGCGACACGCCCGCGACCCGCCCGCGACCTACCCGCAACCCACCCCGCGACCCACCCGCGACCCACCCATCCGAGTGCTACATGGTTCATCCCGCCTTCGTGTTTTTGATCTCCCAGCCACCTCTCCCTTGGTGGTCGCTCTTTCCTATTTGCACTGCCCTCTGGGGTCGTCTTCTTTCTGGCTGCGTCACGTGCTTAGGCTCCTAAGCTGCGCACTCGTTTGGGTTTCCATTTCCCCAGTGTGGGCCCGCCATTCGCGTCATGAGCGTCATGCTCTGCAGTCAGCGCATGATGGAGGAGACGGGGAGGAGTGCACGGAAGAGGAGAAGGAGGAGGAGGAGAAGGAGGTGGAGGAGGGTAAACGTGCAGAGGAAGCAGAGGATGAAAAGGAGGCGGAAGGGGTGAGTGAAGAAGAGGAGGAGGAGGGAGATGAGGAAGAATGCGAGGAGGAGGGAGTCCACAGGAGGAGGAGGAGGAGGAGGAGGAGGAGGGAGATGAGGAAGAACGCGAGGTGGGGGATGAAGGATGCCTGCGGTTCGGTCGGATCGGCTGCGCGGCAATCGGCTGCGTTCGACTGGTTTTGTCCTACCGGCAGTCGTTTCGGTCTGTCGGCTCGGTCGGTTTTTGACTCATTGTCGGTTCGGTGTTCGGTTCTCGATGGCGTTGTCGCCGTATATTGTCTTGGGGATCAGGAGGAGGAGTCAGACGAGATAGGGGAGCTGTAATACATAGCGCCCTGCAGTTGCGGATAATAGTGAGGGGGCGCTGGACTCGTCGGCAGTTTGCGAGGCTCCCAGGAAGCCCGCCGCAGGCGCCGATCTTTCCTTCGCAGCAACGTGGGTGGGTCGTGGGTGGGTCGCGGGTGGGTCGCAGGGTGGTCGCGGGGTGGGTCATGGGTTGGTCGCGGGCGGGTCGCGGGCAATGACGACGACAACAACGCAACGCAACAACATTCCGCACCGCGGAACCCCACTTCATCCACACACCCATGGACAGCGAATGAACGTTCGACTCCTTCTCTTCTCACGAAGCAGGAGCAGCACGAGAAGAATGCAGATGATAGGCTAGAGAGCGAGAAGGAGACCCCACATTGAAGGCACGCGCCTTCACCACGGACATGAAGAGCGCCGCGCAGGAGCTGATGGTGCCTTTCAGCGAGGTCAACGCCACTCTGGTGCAGCTCAACAAGGATGCTTTTTCCCAACCGTCCTGTGGTGTTGCGTCCTCCTTTTGGACAGATCGCGCCCCGCGTCTCCTCCTTCCTACCTTCCTCCTTCCCATTCTCCTCCCCCTCCCCCTCCGTAGCCGTTTTGGCTCAAGCGGTTGCACAACCGGTTCCGCGCCGATCCCCGCCGCGACGCCCTCACGGGCCGCCATCTGCCAGGCGCGACGCCTGCCTACTCTCTTCCTTCCTATCCCCAGCGGCCTCGCGACGAGCCCGCTCCCCATCGCAGAGCGCGCAAGCAGCGCGCTAACGCCCGCACGCTTTTAAGGGTGCACAAAGCTGCGATGATGCTTTCGCAGCACCACTCCTTCCAGGGCATCCCCCAGCAAGGCGCTGTTCCTACAACCTTACCCCCTCCTCACGCGCCGCCTCTCTCGCCAACACCTGGGCTGCAGCAGCACGGTATGGCTACTTCTCCCACCCAGCGCTTGGCTGCTCCTCCCTCACCGTCTCTTTATGCCACGCGCCTTCCCATGGACTTTTTTCCTCCACCCCAGCAGCCAGTGCACCAGAAAGGCAGCGCCCCTCCCGAGTTCTGGTATTGCCTGCAATGTGGCCGGGCCAACACCACTATGGACGTCTCATGTCCCAACTGTTTTCCGACTCGGGCAGCAGGTCATCAGCATGCGACGGCCGGCCCAGCCAAAGGTCAGGGGCAGCACAGGCCCCTGCAAGATGGGGGCGCGGGGCCGGGCCACAAGGGCCCTCGCTCCTTTTCCGGAAGCACGGGAGGGGTGCACTTGGGCAAGGGCCATGCACCGACAGAGGCGCCATCTTTTGATCAGGTGGCTGCATGGGCAGCGGAGCACGGCCTGCTCCCCGCACCCCCAGGAGACCATGCGGTCCAAGCGGCTGGGATCTCCAGCAAAGAGCGCAAGAAGCGCGAGAAGGACGAAGCTCGTAGAGCTCGCGAGTACCAGCGCAGAGATGGGGAGCAGCCTGCCTCGAAGGCTCCTGGCACCCCACACGGTGCTAGGGACACAGGCATCATAGGACAGTCTCCCCAGACACAGCCCTCCCCTTTTGCGCCTCCTCACGACGGTGCGGCCACTCCCCCTACACTCTTCGGCCCAACCTCTGTACGGCAGTCTCCTTTCCTTGCGGCCGAACAGGCCTCCGCCTCGCTCGGCGCGCTGGATCCTGCCACTGAGCTCTCGGTGGCGGAGCTCACAGCGCAATGCCCTACCCTTACCCCAGACGAGGCGCACTCTCACTCAGCCTGGCTTTACCCCCCGCTCGAGCCCGACCGCCTGCTGGAGCACCGCAAGGCCCTTGCAATGAGCAAGGAGGCACTAATCCTGCAGCTTAGGGCCTCAACTCTCCTAGGACACTCCGATATGCGTATCACCGAGATCCGAAAGGAGATTTCACTAGTTAACTTTCAATTGGCCAACGCGAGGGATCCGCTGGCCAAGATTAGTGAGCAAGAGCACGTGGTGGCCTCCCTGCATGCTGATTGCGAGCAATTGGCAGCTAAACAAGCGCAGGCGGAGGAGCACGTGCGCAACATCGCCCTGGCCCTTCAGACCGCGCAAGCGGACCTCAGCCAGGCTTCCATGTTACTAGCTTATTTCAAGTCGCAAGCACCGCCAGCCGCCGCCATCACTGACTCGCTCATGATGGGGGACGCGGCGGATGAGCCAGGTGCAGTACAGCGCACTGCGGCACTCTCTGCAACGCATACAGGTGAGGAGCGAGCCGACCCACCTGACCTGGGAACGGCCACGCCCCTCACTGCAGCGCCGCCCTCTCCCCCGCTCCTCCACTGCCCTGCGCCCCTCCCAGGCATCCAAGGGTTGGAACAGCCTTACATCGCATCACTCTCCGCGGCCATGCAAAGTAACGCCGAGGCCATGTCCAGGGAGGTTGCCACCATCAAGGCAAGTTTTGACTCCCAGGCCCAAGCCATGCGCAACTCAGTAGACACCCTAGTCTCACAGATCAAGGCCGGGCAACTAGTGCCAGCCGCCGTCTCTAGCCACGGCGCTACGGTCCGGGGGGGGGCCACAGCGCCGTTAGGATGTGAACAGGCCCGCGCTTCCCCCAAAGCAGGCCCGCTATTCCGCCTCGGTTTCGTGCCCAAGCCCGGGCCAGCGCCAGTGCCCGAGACGCCGACAGGGGAGGCGATCACCACTGCGCCCACGTTTCAAGATAGCTCGGTTCGGGAGGTTGCTATCAACCAGCAAAGCCCGGCAGCAGCTTCCGTAAAGGAACCCAGCGACATGCCCCCGCCTACCCGTTCTGCCAGCCAGCTTGGGTGGGACCTCTCCGATGAAAAAGGGGAGCCAGTCTCCATGGCATCCTCCCGCCGCAGCGCAAGCGCTCAGGCCAGGGGCAGATCCGCACGCGCGGGTCAGGCCGAAGAGCGCGCGCTTTCAGGCATCAGCGAGGAAGATTTTGTAGGTGGGCAGGCAGCACGCAGCAAGAGCCCTCGTGGCTCACGTCGTCCCAGGCCCGCGACAGCCGAGGCTGAGCCAACGTCACGTGCAGGGGCACCCGCCATGGCTACCCCACGCAGTCCTGCAGATGCAATGGCAGAAGCAGAGGCTGCGGACCTTCGCGCTGAAGCCGAGGCCCACGCGGCACAAGCTGCTCAGGACGATTTAGCCCAGGCAGCGCGCGACGGCACGGTTTTTCAGGTCGCCCCCCCGGACACTGCCCACGGGTAAACCTGGGGGGGCGGCAAGGTATACGCCGCAGCCCGCTTCCGCCCATGGGGTGGATGCTACCGGTGCTTACGGCTACCTCCATACAGTTGGTCAGGGACTTCGATGTCATTTTTCCAGCCCTCCACTCCTCCTCCATCCCCACCTGGCACAGCTTTGTCTTCGATACTCCCTACGCGGCTTTTGACTCCGCGGATATATATACTGACGCCAGCGGAGGGGCCTCCAAAGGAGATCTCGCTGGCCCGCCAGCGTGGGCTTTTCTGGTCTTTGCATGGCTTAACGGCACTCGACACTCTCTAGGCTTCCTCGGGTGTCCCACCCCGGAGATAATGGGAGCAACTAGAGTCTCCGCTAAAGCGGAATTCGATGCCGCCACCTGGGCGGCGTTATGGGCTTTACAGTCCCCCTTTCCTCCCGCCGTTTTTCTCACCTTTCACTCAGACAACGTGGGCGTAGTCGCCGCCGCCCAAGGCGGCACCGTGGCCGAGCCACTAATGGAACATAGAAGCCGCCTCGACAGTCTGTGCAAGGTACTTGGCCTAAAACGTCGCTTTACATGGCAGCACGTGCACGGTCACCAAGCAGACCCGCTCAACGAAATGGTTGACACGGTCGCCAGACTGTACTCCCTCGCACTGCTACCTCCTCCAGCGCTCCCGCCCCTCATGAGCTTTCTCCAAGACAATGCGCACATTTTGGAATGGCTTTGGCTTGAGTGCCTTCCTCAGCAACAGCGAGCGCTTTACCCGCCAAACCATCAAGTTAGTCTTAATCCTCCTCTCCCCCCACGCACCTCGCTTGCTGATGTTTTTTCCAGGTCTCTCCAAAGAGGCAGCCCCGATCGCAGACGCCACGGCATCCTGCTGTCTCAGGCTAGCCTCAGCCAGCATTCTCTCTCTCACGCCTGCTTCGCGCATCTCCCAAAGAGCCAGGCTTACAGGCGTGGCCGTCAAAGGACGCCTCCACCAGCTGGCCGCCGCCTTTCAACGCAATGGGCTCGACGTTATCGGTATGCAAGAGACGCGAGTCACAGCCGCGGGCTTTGGCAAACGCCAGGTCCCCCCGTACGTAGTCTTTTTGTCAAAGTCTCAAGCTGGAACTCATGCTTGCGGCTGCGCGCTATGGGTCAACCTTGCCACGCCCGTTTTTCCCAATGCCAAAGGCATTCCCACTTTCTCTATTAAGTCTCACAGCGTGCGTATTGTACACCAAGATCCGCGCATTATCGCGGCCGTCATCAGTCAGAATGGCCTACGCTTCAGCATCCTCGTGGCACACGCTCATCATTCCGGGCGTCCTCTCCACGAGCAGGCCGCATGGTGGCAGCACCTTAGACACGTGCACGACCATATTTTACCGCAGCCCACTCCTACTCTTGTCCTTATGGACTCCAATGCTGCAGTGGGCACGCAAACATCAGCGGCCATTGGCCCCCAACACGCGGAGCAAGTCAACACGGCAGGCTCTTTTTTCCATCGATTCCTACTTGCATCTAATCTTTGGCTGCCGGCCACCTTTGTGCCACACCCTCTGGGAGCGGGCACGTGGATCGCGCCAGCACGTGACCCCGCCTTCAAACAGCACTGGAAGCGCAGGGACTACATAGCTATACCCATAGGCGCCTCTGCCAATGAATGCGAAGTCAAGTACTCTCTTACTTTAGCACTCGCAGTACTAGACCACGCTGCCCCGTGCTTATCATGCCGTTTCAAGTTGCAGCTTCGACCAAACGAGGACCAGGGACGCCAGGTCATGCGTATTCCGCACGATCCTACAGCATACCTCGACCCGACGGCCAGACAGCTTTTTGAAGACACTTTCTCGCCTCCCCCTGAAGCTTTAACTTTCGACTTGCACGCCTCCGACCGCGCGCTCATCCTTGACAGGGAGGCGCGCAATGCCATGCTACAGGCATTTCCCCAACCCCGCACGGCTACAGGTCGCGCACCTACCAATTCCCGCATCTCCATGGCCACCCTTACGCTTATGGGTGCCAGAGCTTTAACTATCAGCCAAGCCAACTCGCTTCAACATGAAGCAAGCAACCTTTTCTTGCTGGCAGCTATCGCGGCTTGGAAGCGATATGTGCGATCCAGGCAAGCATTTACACGTCCTAAAGCGGCCTTGCTACATCACGACGAGCTCTCGCTGATGCCCGCAGTTAATAATGCTTTTGCCAAACTTGCGGAGCTCGGCGCTGCTCTCCGCAGCATGCGTGCCAGCATGGCTGACCCTAATGCCTCCATTAAATGGAAGCCCAGGATGCGCATGGCCTGCTTGCATCAGTTTTTAGCATCC